TTTGAATTGATTCATTCTGATCTTTGGGGACCATCTCCAGTCACCTCATACAGGGGTTACAAGTACTATGTTAGCTTCATTGATGATGCCACAAGATATACTTGGATTTATTTATTGAAACTGAAATCAGATACTCAAACAGCTTTCATTCATTTTAAAGCCTTCATTGAAAACCAATACAAAACCACTATAAAATCTTTTCAAAGTGATGGTGGAGGTGAATTCATTGCCCTTAAACCATTATTCTCAGCTTCAGGAATCCTACACAAGATATCTTGCCCCTACACTCCAGAACAAAATGGTTTAGCAGAGAGGAAACATAGATCCATTGTTGAAACTGGCCTAGCTTTGCTTAATCAATCTCAGTTACCTCACATATATTGGGATGAAGCTTTCTCATCAGCTGTTTTTCTCCTAAATAGAATACCCCAAAAGCCTCTTCATTTCTTATCTCCTTTTGAAGCCTTGACAAAACAGCAACCCAAATACTCAGAACTAAAATGTTTTGGCTGCAAGTGTTTCCCATTATTGAAGCCTTATAACTCCCATAAACTTCAACCAAAAAGCACTACATCCACTTTCTTGGTTATAGCCCTCATCACAAGGGATATAAAGTTCTCCTTCCAAACAATAAAGTCATTCTCACCAGACACATCATCTTTGATGAGTCTTCATTTCCTTTTAGACAGTCCACTCCTATAAATTCTATCAACACTCCTCATGATGTTTCTCAACCTATACCATTTTCTTCTTCCATTTTATTACCTCCTGTTATCCCTCCTCCACCTCCAAATCCCTCCCCACACAATAGTTCACCCACTCCTTCATCACCACCCACTCCAACATCACCACAGTCACAGCATTCCTCACCTAATCCTTTATCACCTCCATCACAACAAACTTATGTTCATTCATCACCTTTCCTTCCAGGACATCTTTATGTTGATTTACCTGTTGAGCCTATAGTTGATACAACTTCAAATGTTACTAACCATATTGTTGAGTCTGCAGCACCAATCAATACTCATCAGATGGCAACCAGATCAAAGAGAGGTATATTCAAGCCTAAGGTCTATCAGTCCACCACCACTGCTTCTCACATTGAGCCAACAACCATTGCTGAAGCTCTCTCCAATCCTCACTGGAGACAAGCCATGAACAAAGAACTTGAAGCCCTTATTAAAAACAATACATGGGATCTTACTCCATTACCTCACAACAAAACTCTTGTCAGCTCAAAATGGATTTTCAAACTGAAGAGAAATCCAGATGGTTCTGTAGCTAGATACAAAGCTCGTTTAGTGGCTCGAGGATACACTCAATCTGCAGGCATTGACTACACAGAGACTTACAGCTCTGTTGTTAAACCCACCACAATAAAGCTTCTCCTCACAGTAGCTCTCACTCACAACTGGTCCATTAGACAGATTGATGTGGATAATGCCTTCTTGTATGGTGATATTGATGCTGAGATATATATGCAACCTCCTCCTGGCTATAATGTTACTGCTCATTCTCCTCTGGTCTGTAAGCTCAAGAAATCCATCTATGGTTTAAAACAGGCTTCAAGGGCTTGGTCTACCAAACTTTGTTCTGTGCTGCTCTCTTTAGGTTTCAAAAATTCAAAGGCTGATTGCTCACTCTACTTTAAGGTTTCCACTTCATCATCATTATTCATCATGGTCTATGTTGATGATGTTATCATCACAGGCACCTCAAACCAAGAGATCAATGCACTTATCCATGATCTGCATCAACATTTTTCATTAAAAGATTTGGGCCCTCTACATTTCTTCCTTGGAATTCAAGCTCACATGCATTCAGGCTCTCTTTATCTTAACCAAACAGGTTATATCAATGATCTTCTTCAAAGGGTTGGCATGCAGGGGCAAAAGGAGTTAGCTCTCCAATGGTTGCATCACCATCCCTTTCAAAGCACATTGGTAATCCTATTGAAAATCCATCTTCATATAGGCAGATTGTAGGAGCTCTTCAGTACTTGGCCATGACCAGACCAGATATTAATTATAGTGTCAACAAAGCCAGTCAATTTATGCAAAATCCATTGGACACTCACTGGAGAGCAGTCAAAAGAATTCTGAGATATATAGCAGGGACAGAAGAGTTTTTTCTTAAGATATCACCTTGTTCAAATGTTGATATTGTGGGGTATGCAGATGCAGATTGGGCATCTGATGTTGATGATAGAAGATCAACATCTGGATATTGTACCTTTGTTAGAGGAAATTTGATATCATGGAGTTCCAAGAAGCAAGTCACTATATCAAGGTCTTCCACCGAGGCTGAGTACAGGAGCTTGGCTCAAGCTACCTGTGAAGTGTTATGGCTGAGTTCTTTGATGAATGAAATTGGAATCAAACACAAGAAACCAAGTGTCATTTGGGTGGATAACTTGGGGGCAATACATCTTGCAGCCAATCCAGTTGGACATTCCAGAACAAAGCATATAGAATTGGACTTGCATTTCTTAAGAGAGAAGATTGCAAAAGGAGTGATATCAGTTCAACATGTCCCAGCAATTGATCAAATAGCTGATGTCTTCACTAAACCATTAACAGGTCAATTCTATACAAGGCTTCGATCAAAGTTAAAAGTCCAGCCCTTGCCTTTGTTAGAATTGAGGGGGCATACTAAGGCTAAGGATCAAAGATGCAATGCTATTGACCATTCCAATGAAGATCCACGTCAGCATGTTGCCATGCATCCTCAATATGCAACGGCCCCACTCATGCAAGCCTCAGCTGGTCCACATGCAGCCCCACAGTTTCAAGAAGTTGGCAGCTGTGATCTTATGTCTTCTAGTGGAAAAGATAACTGTCAATTAGGGTTTGATGTAGCCAATGAAAGTGTGGACAAGTGTTAGGTCTAGATGATTCCTAGAGTGATATAAATGTGTCTTGTGTGAGTGAGCCGTCACTATCACTCTCATGCACAAAGAAACCCTTAAGGAAATGAAATTAATGATCTTTTGAAGTTACAGTATTTGATCATGCTATTTCTATTAATTTTCCATTAACGTTAAGTCTAAAAAATTATAAGCCGCCCTCTAAGCAAATATATATGGAGTTATGTGTTCGTGTCTCATAAGTCACAAACATTATGAATAACATTACAAATTATTCATTCAAACTTTTATTCATTGCAAATATATTAAAATAGTTTATATAACAGCCATTAAATACCACTTCCAATATATTTATAAATAAAAAGTACATAAAATTTCTAGTGTGTTCAAATTTAAATAATTTTTTATGGACTCAATTTTAAATCATCCAGACATTTGGTCAAACGCATAGATGTGTTCAAATTTAAATTATTGGTATTTTGGTCGGTTGAAATTTAAATCATCTACCATGGTACTGTGATGTGTATTATATATATATACAATTTTATAACAAATAATATGTGCTTTACAAAAATAATAATAATAATTTCACAAGATTTGAAACGTAAAATTTAATTTTTAATCACAATAGAAAAATCATGGTAAGTTGTATTGAAAAGGTGTATGAGATAAAACAATTAACTAAAATATTTAAATAAAATACTTGATGGAAATAGAACGCATTAATTACCTTTGACTTTTCTTACTACTAATTCTAGTAAATAGAATGTCTTTTTATATAAGTATAGATGTTAGGGGTGAGCATGGGTTAGTACAGTTCGGAGATTGGTAAATTTCTGGAACCGTACTGATATTCGGAGATCTGTAAAATTAGATCTACAGAATCGTACCAAAAATCGGTTCGATTCGGTTCGGAGATTCTTATTTTTGGGTACGGTTCGGTGTGGTATTCGTGATTATCGGTACGGTTCAGTTCAATTTGGTTTGATTCGGATATTTGGAGAATTTTAATAATTTTTAAAATTTTTTGGAATGGCCATCTAGTTATATTTTAATTTTTATATAGTTCTTTTTTCTTTAGATCCAACATTCATCAATACTTCACTATACTAAAGATTTTACTTTTAAATCAATTTTATAAGTAACTCTAAATTTTAGTGAATGACTAAATTTGTGCAACTAACATTGAAAATTTTAAAATTCAAACAAAATATAACATAATTTTTTATTGAAATAGTATTTCTTTAACCTTCCTTACCATGTTAGTTATAAAGATAGAATAAGACTAAGTATTAACAAAATTTAAATAAATTTTAAATATTTTTTTAAAAAAAATACTTGTTTAACCTTTCATTCCATTTTACATATTTTGTTTGAAAACAAGAAATATTCAATTGTAGATCATGTATTACTAAGTATAAAATTTAAGTGAAGTTACGTTGTTATTATTATATTTTATTTGCATTTTAACAATTCTCAAGTTATATATGACCAAAGTTGACATAAAATATATTAATACCACACAGCTATTTTTATAATTCGGTTCTTAATTTCGGTTCTCGGTTCGGTTCGGTTCTCGGTACGGATATTTATGAAATCTCGAGAATCGTACCAATTATTTCTTTGGTTCGGTTCGGTTCGGACTGATTTCGGTTCGGTTTTCTGAACGATTCAGAATTCTCCGAGTCCCACTCTCAGCCCCAGTAAATGTTAGAAATAATTATTTTTGGTATTTATTTTTCCGTAATTTACTTTCAACAAAATGGCCTTTTCCCAAATTCATACATCACCAATTTCATGTTTCATTGAATTGATAATTAATGGCTCTTTTCTATTAGCATAATGTCACAATTTTAAATGTGTCAAACATTCAATAAAATGAGATTGAAACATCACGAAATCTTTTTTCACCACGATAAGTCGATTAGTAATTTTTTTTTAACATTTATAATTTACTTTAATTATACAAGTCTAGAATAATTCATCTATATTTATGAGGTTTGATTATTTTATTTAGCATTAGTTCAGAATTGGATGTATAAATTATTTTCACAAACACGACTGATGATTACACTTTCGATTCCAAGAGAACCAAATTTATATGAAGACGTTTTTAAATACAAATACAACTCATTTAATTACCGGCAGACTTTAGAGCTAAACGTAGCGCTTTCACCATGTCTTTGCCTGATAAGCTGTCTTCTGTATCCATCTGCACCCACACAAAATGGTGAAATCTTAGTCAACATGCAAATTCAGAAATCTTGGTAGATGTAGCTACTGCTGGTTAGCTGTTAAATTAAACGAGTCTGGCTCGGCTCAACCCGTTAAAGTTCAATTTCGAAAACTTAACGAGCCGAGCTCGAATCGACTCAATAGGGCTTATTAAAGCTCAAAAAGATAATTTTTATATAATTTTTTATAGTTTGGCTCATTAAGGCTTGAGTTGGAGGCCTTAAGGAGCTCGAGCTCGATTTTTGTTTTGGTTTATTTAACGAGCTCGCCTCATCTCGTTTACAGGCATATGCGCCATCCAATACTTTTTATGCAAAAAAATGAGAGGTCAATGCAAACTAGTCAGCGCTCGAATCACGCGCCTCTTCTCCCGTGTTGAACTTGAAATATAGGTGTAAACACAAATGTACATAACAATTCTACTGTATGAACGTTTGTTTTGAGCAAAGAACATAAAAACACAAACCTCAGCAATAATCGTAATGGCAAGCGAGAAGCCCCCGAAAGGCGTGACGCTCGTGCTGACCACGGTCAAGCCCAGGTTCTCGACCTCGGCCACCAGCCTCACCAAAACCCCTTTCTGCTTCTCACAGATGAGCTTTAGCAGGACACTTTTCCCACTGACCCGGGCCTCGATCTCTGGCCCGTCTATCGGCCCGGCCCAGCTCCGCTCGTCGGACGAGCCCTCATCCTCGACTACATGGGACTTGTTGACGAGCACGACGGAGTCCATTGTATTCCTGCTGACTTGCTCCTCCAAGCTGCTGACCTTGTCCTGAAGGTGTTCCAAGTACTTTATGGTGTCACCCAAAACTGATGTCTTATCCATCTGTTTCAGGATATATTTAAACCAATATAAACGAATTTGTTGTTAGCTTTATTTGGTGTGTGGGTCAGTTTATTTTTTATTTCTATCCGTGTGGTTGAGAATGTGGATACGTAGTCATTAGGCAGTGTTAATGTCATGTGCACTTTTAACATGTAAAGCAAGGAAGGTGTGGAACAGTTATTGTGGAACAGTTATTCCAGAGAATAATAAACGAAATGAAACATCAATGTGGAACAGTAAATCATTCTCCGAATCATTGTTTCATATATAACCAAAGAAAAAAAAATAGTGAATTCAAGTTAAATAAGAAGAAAAAGGAAAATAAAAGTGTATTATTTTAGACGATTTTTCTTCCTTCCGGCGAAAAAAACCTTTCTCCTCAAACCACCGAACCTCTTCCATCTTCAATCCCACCCTCTGATGCTTATTTCGCCTCCACCGCCGTTGTTCTGCAGTGGATGTCGGTCTTTGATGGTCGGGCCAGGGTTTTGGTCGGGTCTTATGGCGGTGAGCCCCAATCTGCCGATGATTCTTCGGTTTGTTGGCGATTGGCGACTTCTCTATTGCAGAGTCTTCGATTGCCGGTGGATAGCCCTCGATCTGTTTTTAGGGTCTGTTCGTCGGCGGTCGGCTATGCCTTCTTGTGGGGTTGTTGGGGTGGGAGTCGGTTCACCGATGGTCTTGGTGGTGCTTGTCGGACGAACTCGACTTCTGTTGGGACTTCTGGAGAGGGCCTTTGTGCTTGGATTGCAGGGTCGGTTTGGGTCTGTTGGGGTGGGCCTTCCGATGGGCTGTTGATGGGTAAGTCGGCGGTCTTCAGGGTGCGGGGTGGATTGAGTGTCTTTTAGGGGTGGGGCGAGGCTCTCGCAGCTTCGACCTCTTGGGTCGTGGAAGTTGGAGTGGGGGACTGAGTCACTCTCTCCTTCCCGGTTCTCTGGTGTTGGGAACTGCGGGGTGGGCTTGGCACTACTGAGCCCGGCTAGTTGTGTTAGGCGAGCTCGTGTGGGGCTGACATGGGGAACTGGATGGTTGTCCTCCCGGTTGAGGTGGATTCATTCAAGTTAGGTTCGGGGTCCGAGTTTGGCTTCTGTATAGGCGTTCGACAGCAGTTTCAGAAGTTGGGCTTGGTCTTGGGATCTTTCGTGGATTCGATTATTTCTCTACGGTTTTGACTCGTTTGACTGTTGGGGAAGGGCGTTCTTTGTTTTGTTTTTTTGTTCGTTTTTGTGTTTTTTTGTGGTGTGTTGCTAGGCTTCGTTTTTTAGGTTTGGGCCGTTGGCCTCAGTGCGCTCGAGTGTGAACTTATTATCCAGTTGGGATCTCACACTTGGGTATTATCATGTTGGGATCTTTTGTTTAGTAGTTTTTGTTGTTGTCGGTGTAGTTGGTTAGTTTAGTTGTGAGTGCTTTTATTCTAATGTTGCTAGTCGGGATTCTAGGCGGTCTTCTAACCTGTCCTCCCACTTTTTCAGTTGTTGGTTGTTCCATTCATGTAGGGTTGTATACTTCGCACATTTGTACATTTTGATTTATAATATTTCCTATCGTTTCGGGAAAAAATGAAAATAAAAGTTTATTAAGCTCTTACATATCCTTCTCATCTTTTCACTTTATTAATTTTCATAATAAAATATTATACGAAAAAATGATATAAATTTGCAATTCAAACCCTCTTTGTAACAATAAATATTATGAAATGCATAAAACTTTGTACAACTTGAGTTAATTTTGATCAAATGATATTGCGGGTACAATATCTATATGAAATCCTCTAGTTCTTCTCTTCTTGGATTTGAGTTGGGATCTTCGAAGGTGGATTTGACTGTTGGATCTCCATCATGTTTGAGCTTCAATTTGTCTAACTGTAATTGGGGGGTCGAATGACTGGATTCTGAAGTAAACGGTTAGGACTTGATTTGATTGGAGACAACGTTTTGGCGGACTTGCTTCTTCGAGCTTTCTAGAAAACGGATTTGAACTTGAATAACGTTGACTCGGGGCTTGAGAGCTTTTTCCCAAATCAAACGCTATGTTGCTTGAACTTCTCTACGAACGCGGCTTCAATATTGTTTCAACACCATGAATTATTGGATTGATTTGAGAGAAGTGGATGCCGTCTCTTTACTTCTTGGAGAAGAGCCGCCGTAGTTTGGCGGTTCGAATACTTGGTTGCGGGTTGAACGCCGATCTTCAACTTGAATACAAAAACGTCTTCAAATCTTGAGGGAGTTCATGAGAGCTCTTGAATTTGAGACTTTGACTTATCAGGTGTGATTTGTAAATTTGAGAAGAACCCTATTTATAGATGTAGGAGAGTATTGAACAAAAAGACTTCAATTTGATTGGTCCTTCATGATTTGATAATCTTTTATCCTCAAATTTTTTTCTTATCGTAATATTTAACTTGGTGGGCAAGAAATATTATCTTTATTAATTAAATATCTTATTTATTTTAGATTTATGTCCAAAAATAAAGACACTAATTAATAAAATATTAAAATTTCGACGTCTACACTCTTAAAATTATAATATTTTCTATTATAACTATATATCAGTGTTAAAATTTATGACCTGCAGTGTAATATTTTCTATTATAACTATATATCAGTGTAAAAATTTATGACCCGTGGACAATTGACAATCGACACATAACAATAGTTCTCTTTAGAGCAGCATTGGTGTAAAATTAATATAAACTTATGACACAATAGTTCTCTTTAGAGCAGCATTGGTGAAAAATTAATATAAGCTTGTGACAATATACATATACAATTTTTCAAACAAAAAAAAAAAAAAAAAAAAATGCCAGTTATAATAGTAAATTGTTCTATGACAAATTAATATGACTGGACAATTGTACTTGGTATTAGTATTCGATCATGTGTATTTGCACAAATGTAAATAAAGTTATGAGTTATTTGTATGCATATAATATCAAAATTATAAATTAGATAATGGTATTATATTTTAAACATACAGTACTATAAGTAATATTTATCACATAATATTAAAATTATAAATTAGATGATGCTATTATGTTTAAAAATTAGATCATTGGTTAAAATAAATAGTACATAACGATTTGATTGCATATGGATCACTATATTAATTGCATAAAATGTAATAAATAGTGTAGTGTTTTGTAATTTTAATGGATCATGAAAAATTAATTAGCTGAAAATTATTAAATTTATTATAACAATTATTTATGTCAGTTTAAGAAAATTTACTATGACATTAAAAAAGATTAATTTTTTTAGAAAACAATCACTTGATCAGATAAATAATATAATATTGATTTTACAATAAATAACTTGAATATAAAAATTTTATAATATAATTTTTTATGTTTATGTATTTTTCATATGTCGCTTAGTGTAAAATATAATTATTAATTTTAATAATATATGATGTATGATAAAATAAAAAAATAATTAGTATTTAATTAATATAAAATTTAACGATTGTTGTATTAATTAGAGATTAGTGATCCTGACATACAAGGCGAACTTGTAAGAGATATGTTAAAGAAATAGTCAAAATATTATCTTTTCACTCCCGATACATTTTTAGTTGTATCTTTGTTAAATCCATCATTACGTGAAAAAGGTTGGAGCAACCAACTTCACACATATTATGATATTATGTATCAACTCTCAATTCTCACTGATGTCCCAGCTATCAGTGTAAGACTTAACTCACAACAGTTCGTCAAGCAAGCAAAACTTTTATTATATGAATTGTTTAAGAAACAACAATCGGACTAAGGAAAAATCCAGCGTCATTTTTCTTCAACTGCTTCGGAGTCTTCTTCTTATGGATAATGAGGAGAGACGACGGAACAAGCTTAAAACTTTGAAGACTGGTGAGAAGACTTTAATCCCTACAAAAATGCTAAGATCTTAAGGGCAAAGGAGACCAAATACTGTGAGCTCGATCACTACCTCACGGCGAATTTAATGCTTACGATTGCTTGTCAACCCATTCCGCCTTAAACATTCAGAACTGGCATAACTCTGGTTGTTGCATCATACCCTTTTACTTGAACATCCATGCTTGATGGCCAAGGAGATTTTCCATGTCCTGACCTCAACAGTGGCGGTTGAACAAGTACTCAGCGAGAGAGGACATACACTGCACCATGACGGTCAAGGTTGACGCCAAAAACCTTGAGGCTCAAATGTTGCTCAGTGACTGGAAGAAGGCCGAAATGAGGGTAAAAAAGGCCATGCTAACTGTCGAATATGAAGAAGATGAGGCATCCGATTTTACTACTAGTAATAGTGGAACCGCCGAGAATGAAGAAAATTACAACACCTACGCCTACGTTTACAAGACCGTCAATTCAATCAGCATCTACTTTTATCAAGGTAAGTATAGTAAAAAAATTACGAAAAATATCATTTTGTAACCCAAATATTTTTCAACTTAATTGATATATATATTTTTTTTTTGGTAACCAACCATGGTATCAGGAGTTATTCTCCGACTAATCTGTTGGTCGACCCGGGTCGCATACCTGGCAGTGGTGGGTGACTCTTCCAATAAGGGTTTTATGCATTCACAGAGACTCGAATCCGAGACCTTCCTTAAGCGACAGCAAACTGCTTATAATATGTCAATTAAGCGCAAGTCCAATTTTTTTTTAAATAAAAATCGGCCCGAGCCGAAACTAAAATCGGCCCAGAACGGACCTCGATCCGCCGGTTCTGTTGAAGTGTGTATGTTGAAGTGTGTGTGTTGGAGATATGCAGCTGTGTGTTTCTTTTGTAGTTAAATCGTGTTTGTTCTTTTTTTGTAGTGAACTTAGCTAATGACCAAAACTGTGTCGTTTTGGTACATTATAAGGGATTGAATATTGGATCGGGTATAAATAGCCCACCCATGTACTTTTGAGCTAAGAGTTTTTGTCAGAAAATAAAAATTGGTTTTTCAGATTTATTTCTCTCTGCATTTTCTACATGGTATCCAGAGCCTATTGAGCTTTCTGTGTTTCTACGATTTCTTCATCAATGGCGAACAATCGTCACAATGAAGCTTGGCCGCTGCTAAATGTAAGAACTAATACCACCACTGAGAATCGCGACGACGATCCTTTGTTTCTACACGGCTCAGATCATCCAGGTTTGCAGCTCGTTTCACATCCCCTAAATGGATCCAATTTTCTGGCATGGAAGAGATCGATAATGATCGCGCTAGGAGCGAAGACTAAGCTGGGATTTATAGATGGATCTATTCAGCCATTGAAGGTCGGAGATGCTGATTATGAGAAATGGAAGAAGGTCGACTGGACGGTAATTTCCTGGATCTTAAATTCATTATCGAAAGATATAGTCGATGCTTTTATATATGCCGAATCTGCAAAAAAGCTGTGGGATGAGATATGTCAACGTTTTGGAGAAAGTAATGGTCCGTTGATCTACAAGCTGCAGAGAGATATAGCTAATCTGAAACAAGGAGGTGACTCAGTTATGATGTACTTTAATAAGCTTAAGAAAATGTGGGATGAGTACAGCTGTTTAGTGCCGCCATTAATCTGTAAGTGTGATGTTGAGAGAAAAATGGAGGAGCAAGATATGCAGAACAAACTCATGCAGTTCTTAATGGGATTGAATGACAGCTTTGATCATATTAAGAACCAAATGTTGATGATGGACCCTCTCCCTAATGTCAACAAAGCGTATTCAATGATTTTGTCAGCAGAAAGGCAGAAGACAGTGCAGATTGGAATGGAGGATAACACTCACAGTCTGGCTATGGCTTTCAAATCCAACTATCAAGGGAGAGGAAACAATGTAAGGCCACAAAGCTTGCTGCAAGGTGGAGGAAGAGGAAGAGGTGGCTACAGAATGTCAAAAGAAGAAAAGGCTAAATTGCTGTGTGAAAATTGTGGATGGAATGGGCATGACAAGTCAACATGCTTCAAGCTACATGGATATCCAGAATGGTTTAAGGAAATGAGGGATAAGAGAGGTAAATCTGCAGCCAATGCAGTTGACACATTTGACAATCAATCCAGTTCCCAGTCATCCAGAACAAGCAGTGCACCAGATATTGCAGCCATTGCACAAGAAGTAGCCAAATTGTTGGGAAAGCAAAGCAGGGAAGAAGAACACTATGTGAACTTTGCAGGTGATGAAAAGGATGATCTATCACATTATGCATTATCATTATATGAGAGGCAGAATGAGAAAGCTTGGGTGATAGATACTGGTGCCAGCAAACACATGTGTACTGACAAGAAAGCAATGAGAAACCTGATTAATCTTGCAACTCCTATCACAGTATATCTGCCAGATGGTTCAGAGAAGTTGGTGTCACTTGTTGGAGAGGTGAAGCTGTCAGAAAAATTGACTTTACATGAGGTACTACCTTCTTTTAAGTATAACTTGCTATCTGTGACCCAACTTTGTGAGGCTTCAAAGGTAAGGTGCATCTTTACATCAGAGAGCTGTGTGTTTAAGGAAGAAAGAACAGAAGAAGTGATGGGCTATGGAACACTGCAAGGAAAGTTGTATGTGTTGAGTGAACATAATCTGAGGGATGAAAAGGGATTGACATGCAAAATCTCCTTGGAGGATTGGCATAAAATTATGGGTCATGCCTCACATGGGGTTCTACAACACTTACCATTCCTAAAGGAACACTCTGATGAAGGTAGAACACAAAACTTGAAGCAATGTGAAGTATGTTTCAAGGCCAAGCAGCATAGACTTCCCTTTCCAACCAGTAAAATACATACTAAGGATTGTTTTGAGATGGTGCATATGGACCTGTGGGGGCCATGCAGAGAGGAGAGTATTACTAACACTCCATACTTTTTGACAGTGGTAGATGATTATAGTAGAGCAGTTTGGGTCTTCCTTCTCAAGACAAAAGGAGAGGCCATCAGACACATCAAAAACTTTCTGAGAATGGTGAAGACACAATTTAAGAGAACAGTTAAAGTGGTTAGAAGTGACAATGGGCAGGAGTTTGTGGGGACTGAGTGTCAAGGAATTTTTTCAGAGGAAGGAATCTTACATCAAAGGACATGTGTATACACACCTCAGCAAAATGGGGTGGTAGAGAGGAAGCATAAACAGATCTTAGAAATTGCAAGAAGCTGTCTATTTCAGTCAGGACTGCCACTGAAGTTCTGGACATATGGAATACTCACAGCAGCCTACATTATCAACAGACTGCCAAGCTCTTCTTTGAACTGGGACACACCATATGAAAGGGTATATAACAAGACTGCAGATTATCATAGACTCAAGCCATTTGGATGTTTGGTGTATGCAGTTAATACCTTACCAAGCAGAAGCAAATTGGATCCCAGATCCCACAAGTGTGTTTTCATTGGGTATGTGGCAGGATGTAAGGGTTATCACTTGTATGATTTAGAGAACAACAAGGTCATTATATCCAGAGATGTAGTTTTCTTCACAGACACTTATCCCTACAAAAATGAAGCAGTAAAGGAAACTGAAATCACCACAACATTGCCTGTGATACATGAAGACCTCTCATACACTAAAGCACCTGCTCAGAATGGAGAAGATCAAGAGGTCACAGATGAAAGAGTGATGGTGGAAGATATTGGAAAAAGGAAAAGGAATAAACCTGCCTGGATGAAGGACTACATCTGTGATATTGGGGAAACAGGTTCAATGAGTTCTCAAAATGAGGAGTTTTTTGCTAATTTAGCTGCAGATCAGGAGCCTTTCAGTTATCATCAAGCAAAAACTGATAAGAAATGGGTGGAGGCAATGAATAATGAACTGAAGGCTTTAGAATTAAATGGGACATGGAAGCTGTGCTATTTACCCACTGGAAAAAAGGCCATTGGGTCAAAATGGGTGTTTAAGGTCAAGAGAAAAGCAAATGGAGAGGTAGACAGATACAAGGCAAGATTAGTTGCCAAAGGTTACAGTCAGACAGAAGGTGTAGATTACTTTGAGGTTTTCTCACCTGTTGCAAAGATGGTGACAGTAAGAGCATTCATAGCCATGGTGGCAATGAGAGGATGGAAGTTATGGCAGCTAGATGTGAATAATGCTTTTCTACATGGCTATTTGTCAGAGGAGGTATACATGAAACCACCACAGGGATACACTAAGGCAAAGGAAGGACAAGTCTGCCACTTAGTGAAGAGTTTGTATGGGTTAAAGCAGGCATCAAGGGAGTGGAACACTGAGCTTACTAAGAAAGTCTTGGAATTTGGTTTGGTTCAGTCTTCATATGACAATTGTTTGTTCACTCAGAGAGGGGCAGAAGGATACTTAGCAATGCTGGTTTATGTGGATGATGTATTATTCACTGCTTCTAATATTCAGTTGCTAGAAGGTTTGAAGAGGTTTCTTGACAAGGAAATTCACCATTAAAGACTTGGGAGAGGCCAAGTACTTCTTAGGAATGGAGATTATGAGAGATGAAGAGGGCATAGGGCTGTGCCAACAGAAATATGTCATGGATTTGGTCAGAGATCTGGGAATGGAGAACAGCAAACCACCACCTACACCTCTGCCTATGGGACTTAAACTGATGAGTTTTGATGGCAGCCCTTTGGAAGAAGGAGATCAATATAGAAGATTGATTGGAAGGTTGTTATACCTCAACTTAACTAGACCAGACATTAGCTATGCTGTGCAACAGCTTAGCCAATTTGTGAACAGCCCCCACACTAAACATTGGGAAGCTGCAGTGCATGTGTTGAAGTATCTGAAAGGAACACCCACATTGGGACTTTATTATAAGAAGGCTACAGATCATATCCTTGACAGCTACTGTGATGCTGATTGGGCAGCTTGTAAGGATACAAGGAGGTCCATCACTGGGTATTGTATTTTTTTAGGGGATAACTTGGTTTCTTGGAAGAGTAAGAAGCAAACAACTGTGTCTCGTTCTTCAGCCGAAGCTGAATATAGATCCATGGGAGCCACAGTCTGTGAGCTGCAATGGCTACATTCCTTGAGCATGGACCTGGATTTGTCTCTTCCACTGCCTATAACTCTATGGTGTGACAATAAAGCGGCTATGCACATTACAGCCAACCCCGTGTTTCATGAGAGAACAAAACATCTCGAGATTGACTGCCATGTGGTGAGAAATAAGTATAAAGAAGGGTTCATTCATCTCTCTTATGTGCCTTCTTCTTCCCAGCCAGCAGACGTTTTTACCAAAATTTTGCCGGGAGTACATTTCAAGCTACTGATTTCCAAGTTGGGCATGGTCTTTCACCCAGCTCCAACTTGAGGGGGGGGGTGTTGAAGTGTGTATGTTGAAGTGTGTGTGTTGGAGATATGCAGCTGTGTGTTTCTTTTGTAGTTAAATCGTGTTTGTTCTTTTTTTGTAGTGAACTTAGCTAATGACCAAAACTGTGTCGTTTTGGTACATTATAAGGGATTGAATATTGGATCGGGTATAAATAGCCCACCCATGTACTTTTGAGCTAAGAGTTTTTGTCAGAAAATAAAAATTGGTTTTTCAGATTTATTTCTCTCTGCATTTTCTACAGGTTCACCTAAAAACGGCCAATCGGTGAACACTGGCATGTGCCAAAATTCGAGCCAGTTCCGGTTCCTCGAAATTGTGGCCCGAAACCGAGGTTTGGCCATGTCTAATCATGATTGTTTTTGTTTACAAAATTTGTAATATACCAAAAATTTAAAAAAGGGGTGAAAATGAAAGAAAAGAAAAGAAAAAGAAATTACCTTCTTCAGTCCGGGGACCATGGTAGAGAGAGCAATGAAGCAGCGGCTGAGCTGCTCCCGCCGCTTTCTCTCCGCTATGATGTGATCGTAAGTCTGTGAAGCCGGTCTCACCCTACGCGCCTTGCTCGCGCGTTTTGTCCCCTCAATATCCCTTCTCAACTCCTTTCTACAACCTTCCACGGCATCCAGCGGACTCTCCTGTCCCGAATTTAATTCCCAATCACTATTTCCCCCCTTCTTCTTGTTTCTGAAATCAAGTGTGGCCGGCCAGGGACAATCGCCGCCGAATATGGGGCTGAGGTTCTTGGACTCCACTGCCGGTAGCGGCGGCTCGCCTGACGGCGACGGGTGGCCGCCGCTATCCTGCAGAAACTCGTGGCCGAGTATGACGGCCAATTCTTCATCGATGTAGTCCATTAAGTCGCTTTGACCCTCAAAATCTCTTAACATTTTTTGTTTTTTTTCTTTGGGAGAAAGAAAAAATAGGGAATTCAGGAAACCAATGAGACAGTGGTTTTGGAGAATTATTGTTGTGATTCAAGTCATTTTTAATTCCGCAAGAAGGTAGCTGTCCTGTTATGTTTGACAATTTTGTAGGCCAATGTAAAGTAATCATGAATATAATATATGGTTCCTGAAATTCCTTTCCTTAATTTATTTATTTATTTTTTTTATTTATTTTTTTGGTCCTCTATTAATGTTGGTTCTTTTATTTATTATTATTTTATTTCATAACCAAAAAGAATGGATCAGCCCCTACCTTTTTTTTATCGTTAAATAATTTGAATATATCAAAGGAGATTTTACATCGACCGTCTCACGGTATACAAGAGTAAGGTCGGGGACCACAATCCGATCCTGCACTCCCTATTCAAAATGAAATAAAGAGAGACGAATCATACACCGGTTGCTCAACTCAAACCAAATCGAGGCCGAAAATATAGGGGACGATTGTTTAGAGCATGCTTAATTATAATTTTTTTTTTTTTGTTTTGATTGTTTTTTTCTTTTTGTTTGGGTTGGTTAAATTTGAAAAAGTTAGTATGGTTAATTGTTAAAATTAAATTGATGTAAAAATAGGAGAGAGAATATGTGATGTGATGGTTAATTAAAATTATGTGAGTAGATGAATAGTAAATTAAGGTTGATGTTGCGTGCAAGAATGATTGCTTGATATTATTTAATTATATTGATAATATTGTAGAGGTAGCCAGGTGTCGGTTCCCGGCTCAGCCCAGCCCGCCGAGCCACAGGCCCTCCAACACATGGCCCGCGACCGGCCCGCCTAAAAACTAAGGGTCGGTTCACAGTACCAGCTCGAATCGCCGGTTCACCGACCCAGTGGTTCACGGGCCGGTACGGCCCTTAAAAACAAAACTTTAACAAAATGGCCCGCCGTCCGACCCGGCCCAACCGGCCTGGACCGGAATAAAAAAAAGAACCGGGACTGAACTGCGGCCCTACAGGTCCCGGTTCAACGAATCGGTCCTTAAGAAGCCGGTTCGGGCCGGTACCGGTTCGCGGGTCGGGCCACGGGCCGGTTTGGCTCGTGGCCATGTCTATAATATTGATGATAGTGGGTTGATTGATTGATATTATTTAATTATATAAATGATAATGGGTTGAGTTAAAGTTGAGTTAAAAAAAGTGGTTGAGTTAAAAATGATGAATTTTTTTGGATCCAATTTATAAACAAGCATCCCCTAATAGTTTGTACAGTAAAAAAACCAATCAAAACTTAAATTTAACTCAATTTTAACTCAGCTCCACTACTATTTTTTATTATCAATATAATTAAAAAATCTCAACCAATCATTCTTACCATCACATCAACTTTAATTCAATATTCATCCACTCACATAATTTTAACTAACCATCACTTTCAATCATTCTTCTCCTACTTTACATCAAATCAACTTTAATTATTATATTGAGGGAATGGACAAGACGACTGAAGGAGCCCGTAAGCTTGGGGAGACGGGCCGGTCGAGAACCAATCAGTGGATTAGCTGGGATCGGCCTCCGTTGAGCTGGATTAATATTAATTCGGATGGTTCTTTTACTCCGTCGACTGGCATGGGGAGTTCGGGGGGGCTGATTCGGGATAACCAAGGGCATTGGCTCGGCGGCTTTACGATGAATATAGGTACATGCTCGATAATGGCAGCGGAATTATGGGGTCTTTTCTAGGTACTTTCGCTAGCATGGGAGCTGGGGTATAGACACATTGTAGCAGAAGTTGACAATGAAAGCGTGGTGGCTTTTGCTACATCACTTGACGGGGTCCCGGGCGTCAACTTAGGCCTTGTGTCGGGGATCAAGGAACTCTTGTGTCGCCCTTGGGAGGTGAGGGTGCAACACGTATTCCGTGAAGCGAATTATGCGGCCGATTTTCTGGCTTCCTTCGCAGTGGAAGGCCCCTTGAGGTACCGGTCTTTCAGTGCTCTGCCGGAGGGTGTTCGTCAATGGCTACAGAATGATATTATTGGTGTGGCCCATACACGAACCGTCTACACCATGATCCATTAGGCGTTTAGCCTCTTCTTTTGTACCAAAAAAAAAACTTTAATTATTATATTTAAATATTATTTTAACATATCCACTAACAACTAACCATATCACATTTTTTTCAAAATTAACTATAGTTAAAAAATAAACTAAATAAAAACTAGTTGAATCCATAAAGAATCACCCCCGTAGTGGTTCAATGATGGGTTCGCAGGCAGCATGGTCTTCGCGGGAAAGAGGGGACTCGCGACGAATGGGGAGATTCACGGGCAGCTGGGGTTGGCAAGGCCTCGCGGACTCACGAGGCAGCGTCAGTTCGCGGGCGTAGAGTGATATTTGCGGGCGCGAAAAGTAGCCTTTGGATGGTCCTTTGCTTGCGAAATGAAGAACTCGCGTGATAGCAGCTATTCACGGGCTCGATTTTAGCATCAGCCCCTACCTTATATACTGAGTTTGTAGTCTCAAATCACGGTCTACTACGGGCATGTTTGTTAGCCCGGACAGGATAGGATTGCGCCTCTAATCGACCTTTAATCTAGCGTTTGTGTTATCATCTGACTCGGTAAAGCACAATTAAGGGCCTTGAACAGCATCTTAAAGCAAATTTAACTTCAACACCAACGTGACCCAAAGTCACCCCGGTTCACACGACAAACCGGTATAACCACAAAAGACCGAAGTGATCATTACTATCCGAGATCATCCCAAACTGAGGTCAACACAAACCGAGGCCGTTACCTCCTAAGCAGGTGACAAGGCACCTACACGCCCTTCTCGCAAACTACGAGATCTGCTATCATTCAAGTGGGACCCATTGCTCCTGCCGCCCACCAAAAAGTAGCTTTATGGAAAAAGCAACGCACGAATCCCGAAATATATCTTACAAAGTTACTATAAATAACAAGCTTGTGATACTTGTAGGGGATTCGATCCCTGAACTTTTGACAAGGCAACACGTAACAGCTCACAGAGGCTTTTCACCTCGTTTCACCTCGGACCGGGGCCATTGTTGAGTATTTCTTACATATTTTACGTTCAAATCACGAATAACCATCAAACAAATACATCACTAAATCGTTGTTAAGAATCATACAACAACAGTTTGGCGCTAGAAGGAGGGCCTCATAAGTGATTTGAGGTTAATCTCCGATTCGTGTTTAGTA